AGCCAAAGATAGATGGAAGCATCCTCTCCCACCAGACCCCACCCCCGCCCTGTCCCCTGACTCCCAACATTCCAGCATAGTCCCTTGATTCTTCTGCCTTTTCCCATGAGTTCCAGCACTGAAGAAAAAAAAACCAGAGCCCTTCTCGGAGCTGCTGGAGTCTTGTGCCCTATAAATCAGAGTGTGTCTTGAGCTGTGAGACCAAAGGAACATCCTGGAAAAGTCAATGATTAGATGACTGTTTTTAAACATCATTCCACCAAGCCCAGGCCTATCTGTGAGATTAAGCTGCCTTCCAACTCTGCCTTCAGCAAAGACTCTCGGGGCTCAGTCTCCTTTTTGGTTCTTTATCCTTTGGGGCAGTGGTTCTCAACCTTTCTGATGCTGTGACCCTTTAATATAGTTCTTCATGTTATAGTAACCACCACCACCACCCACCATAAAATGATCCCATTGCTACTTCATAACTGTAATTTTTGCTACTGTTATGAATCGTAATGTAAATATCTGATATCCAGGATATCTACTATGAAACCTCTCAAAGGGACTGAGATCCTCAGGTTGAGAACCACTGCTTTGGGACTTTTTAGAGACCTGGTCTCGTGTAACCCAGGCTGGCCTCGAACTTGCTAAGTAACCAAGGCTGGGCTTGAACTCCTGATCCTTCTTCCTCTACCTCCCAAGTGCTAGGATTATCAACATCCCTTTCTTGGTATTCAAGAAGCAAGGGGGAGAAGGGCCCTCCCACATGGCCCAGGGTTCCTGGAAGCCATGCCCCATTCTCTGACATGACTTGGGCCCTCACCTACTCCATCTGGGTAGCTTTACTGGAAGGCCAGGGATCTCTAAGGACTTCTATAAGAAGACTGCATTTGGTCACTTCTTATTATTACTGTGACAAAAATACCTGACCAAAACAAAGACCCAAAACAAACAAACAAAAAAAACCAGCACAAGAAAGGAAAGTTTTCTTTTGGCTTACAGTCTGAATGTTCAATACATCACCTCAGGAGAAGGTGCAAAGGGAAGAGGGAGTGGATCTAGCTATGGCACCGGGGGTGGGAAGCTGATGGTCACATCGCATCTACAGTCAAGAAGAAGAAAGAAATGACCGTGGGGTGCTTGCCTGGCTCTTTCCCATTTTCCCTTTTTATTCAGTTCAAAACCAGCCAATGGGATGGATGGATGCCATCCATGTTTAAAATCTAAATCTAAATCTAAATCTCTGTGGAAACAGTCTCTTGGGTATAGCCAGAAGTGTGTCTCCTAGGTGATTCCAAATCCGGTCAAGTGGATGATGAAGTTGAAGTATCACAGAGACGCTGGGTTTTCCTAGGATGGGCCTGTCCCTAGGTCACATGATTTCCTCCCCCCCCACCACCACCATGTACACACACACACAATCTCACAATTGTGTTTCCACTTCCACCTTATTCATCCGGGATACCCTGGGGTTTCAAAGATACATAGTGTGACAGGGACTGTTTTTTCAGGAGAGGTAAGAAAGATGTCTAGATTTCTTGACTCCTGGGAGAATCCTGTAAACACACAGCACTGGAAAAAGCACAGACTGGGAGCTAAAGAGAAGAGATGGGTTGAATGTTGGTCTCAGGAGGGCAGTTTGTCTGGAGTTCACTCACTGGACAGCTGGGGCTCTCCAGAGTGTTTGACCTGGAGCTAGGAAGTACAGACTTGGGGTTTGACAGGGGGTCTTCCCTTTAGAATGACCGGGAGACCGTGAGAAAGAGATATAACCGTTGAAGGAGGAAGGTGTGGGAGGCTGAGAGAGTCTGGAGATCCCTATGAATGGGTTCACAGAAGGCCCAACAAGAGTGATCCCTGGGGCTTGTCTTTGCCCTGGCTTGTATGTGACAAAGTCCAGAGCTTTCCTTAAATATATTCCTGGGAAGTGCTCTGAACAACCTAAAGACACAAGGTACCAGCCCCGAAGGGAGCAGGGTTTGGGAGCCTGGTGGCCTGGGGGATTTGTCTTCTTGCTGTTAAGCTGGGTGCCAATTGTCTCTGAGAGTCTCCCTGTGGAAACCTGGCCTCAGAACAGGTGATCCAGTGATATGGGGTGGGAGTCTAGTCAGACAGTTCTCGGGTTAATCAAGAGACTTCCCACATGCATAAGCATGGGGAACTGACTATTATTGCAAAATGGGTCTTGTCAGAATCCCAGGTCAGTCAAACTGACAAGAGATGAGTATTGACATCATGAGTAAAAATATGTCCATCTTGGCCAATGTGTTCAATCCCAATGCAGGGTGTGTATGTGTGTGTGTGTGTGAATGTATGTAGTACACATACAAGTGAATGTGTGAATGTGTACATATGGAGGCCAGAAGATGTCTTTTCCTATCACCCTCTACCTTATTTTTTTGAGATGGGGTCTCTCCATGAATCTGTAACACATTGATTCACCCAGGCTGTTAATGATGTCTCCTAATCCCCTAGCTGCCCCTACACCACCTCTGCTTAGCTCTGGTCCCCAAACAGAGAGAGCCAGGGGTATAAAAGAACTGTGCAGAATCCAAGGGACCCTCCACCCTGGCTGTTGTCAGGCTCAGGGATTTGTCGAGCCCACACCACAGAATGCAGCATGGTCCCTGGAGCATTCGTAGACTCGAAGATATGGAATGTAGGAAAGCTTTTGGGAAAGTACTATACCCTGCCAGACCCGGAGAATCCCAACTAGAAACTTCCCTCAATACCTGTCGGTTAAAGATCCTGGCCTCTCCCAATACCAATGAGGAATCCCCCCAAGAGATTGTAGCTTCATTCCAGCAGGACACTGGGCTGGTAAGGACCCTATATATGGCTGTCCCTGGGTCACAGAAGGTGTTCAGTGCAGACCTGGGACTGGCCTGAGTCTGCCACTGCCTACCCTTTCCATCAACGCTCTCTCCCACACACAGATCGAGCTCTAGAACCTGAGCCTTAGGTCAATTCCCTGAACCCAGACAAGCACTGCAGCCTAGCCCACCCCACAAGAGAAGCCTTGGTGAGGGTCAGGGGGAACTTTAGCTGGGGCAGGAAAGTGCTATATCTAAACACGTCCTGGGGCCTGCGCGTCTGGCTGGCTGTCACCCGGGCCAGGTGGGCCTCTGACACACAGCAGGAATTTTCCATTGGCGCATCCTCTATCTGGTTGGGATCCAACGCATTTTCATATTCCCCACCCCCACTACCTCTTCCTTTTCACTCCAGTTGCCTTGTGGATATACACCCCAGGGCCCAGAGCATGAGGACCTATGGTCCTCAGGGAGGCCTCAGGAGCCCCCATTTTCTACCACCCAAGGACCACCTGCCAGAACCTAAAATACAGAATCTCGGAGTGTAGAGAAGAAGAGGTGCTTTAAAAAAAACCTACAGATAACGAAAGTGAAGTTCAGAGAGAAAAGTAACATGTCCAAAGTCGATCAAACGCAGCTTCGGTTAACTCTGATGCAATTCTACTCTCACAGTGCCCGTTTCCAAGGTTAAGGACTGAGAGACACACAAAAGACAACCAAAGATGCAAGCCAGGGCTGAGCCATCCATGAAAGGAAACGTCCAAGTCACAGAAATCTCCAGAATGGACAACGGAACATTTGGGGACGCATACTTCATGTCATGCTGGGCCGAAAGTGGCAACTCCAATGCTCCTTCTCAAAGGCAAGGCCTGTGGGGGCGGCCCACTCTTCTGAGGCCTGCGCACCCCTCATCACAGTGGAAGGGATGTTTTCTATGCTGGAGCACATGTGCTCGACCCTGTCACTAGAGTACTCCTTGAGTAGTAAGAAGAGCCTTGCCTAGTGTAAAATACAGACAAGGAGGTCAGGCCTTCATATGGGGCTGAGGTGTGAGCCTTGTAGGATCTTTGTGGCCGGGGGTAGCCCCACAGGGGACAGCTGTGAGCAGGCAGCTTGTTTCCAGGGCTGCATTCTTGGTAGTCAGGGCAATGTGTGTGCCTGCAGGACAAGTTCACAAAAAGAATAGCCTCCAAGCTGAATGGCATTCTATGGCCTCCTCCTTCAGTCCCCGGGTACGCTTCCCCATCATAACTAACTCCCTGGAGCTTGGGTGTTCACAAAACTGGACTCCCCGGGAGACTCCAAGCTATGCATGCAGGGAGAGGGCAGGTGGAGAAGGGGGTGACAGGAAGACACGGGGTGCCATTTGGTATGTGCAACCTCCCACTCCCATGAAAACCAGAGCCAAGGCCCCAGCTGCCAGCCAGCGTTTCCTAAAGTAACTTCTATGAAACTAAGTCAGAGTGTTAGAGGAAAAAAGGTTGAGAAAAGGAGAAAAATCAGAGAATATCAACCAACCCTGGTTCCTCAAATACATTGCAAGTTCCCTGTAGATTTCATAAATGGCAGTTCTTGGGAATCTAATTTGTTGAGGGGTTTAGACATTTTTAGCTGTCACACCGGCAGGATGCTATGATACTGGTACCTAGCTAGTAGAGGACCAGAAGCTGTTAACCTCACGATGTGTAGGACAGCCTACAACCCAGAAATACCCAGAACATCAACAGTGCTGAGGTCAAAAAAGCCATGTCCCACAGCACTGTGAGTTCCCAAAGAAGATGTCTAGGGTCCCGGCACGGTGAATATGTGTTCTTTGTGTGTGTACGAGTGTGTGTGGAGGCCAGGGGGACAACCACAAATGTCATTCTTCAGATGCCATCCGTTGTTTTACTTTTAATACATGGGGTCTCTTATTGGCCTAAAGTGCTAAAAAATAAAATAAAATAAAAAAAAGGCTACCTGTGAGCCTCAGGGGTCCAGCTGCTTCTATCTCCCCAGGAGTATGTTCACAAACATGTGCTACTGTGCCTTACGTGGAACTGAGGTTGACCTCAGGTCCTCATTCTTGTAAGGCAAGTACTTTGCCAACTGAGCCATTTCCCCGGTCCTGTTCTTCATCCTCTTGGACCACCCAGCACACGCTCTCATTGCCCACATAGTCGTTTTTTTTTTTTTTTATTGCTATGATAAAACACCACAGCCAAGGCAAATTATAGAAGGAAGAGTTTATTTGGGGTAGACAGTTCCAGAGGGTTAGAGTCCAAGTCAGCAGAGCCGAGGCAGCCGGTAAGGAGGCAGTTGGAGCAGTAGCTGGGAGATCATCTCAACCTGCAAGTAGGAAGCAGAGAGCTCAACTGATATACCATGCACACGGCTTTTGAAACCCGCCCCAGTGACACACCTCTTCCAACCAGGTCACACCTCCTGGTCCCTCCCAAATAGTTCCACCGACTGGGAACCAAATATTCAAGCATAGGAGCCCACGGGAGCCGTTCTCATTCAAACCATGCTTGAAGATGTCTCCTGTTTTTGGAGGCAGAGGTTGCCTTCAGGTACGGGAGCTGAAAATATCAATTCACTGCCCCAGCTTCTCTTGCATGTAGCCGGCAGGTCCATGGCTTCTCTCCACCAATTAGTTGCATTCTCCCAAAAGAATCCAGAAGGGAGTCTGCAGAATGTACTGCCCAGAAGTGGGCATGGTGGTGGTAATGACAACCTATCTTCAGAAATGGTGACAGGAATGGTGGGGATAGGGGCAGCACTGGTACTGGCAGAGCCGGTGGCCCAAAGCTAAAGTGTCTATACCGCAGTGGGGCCTTCCTGGAATCAGTCCTACCGCGTGACATTGAGGGTTGTGGCTAGCTGCTTCCTTTCTGACCTTAGCTTTCTGGTCCTACAGAAAGTTCTTTGAACTATCCACAGTCTTTGGAATAAATCATTTCTGAGCTCAAATTAGGAGAGTTGACTTCTGCAGCTTGCAATCAAAGGCTGAGAGCAGCTGAGTTCCCCCAAATGAATCCGAGCCTGGGCTTCTTTCTTCCACAGAACACCTCAAGAGACTCTGGGTCTCTGAGCATGCTTTGAGGAATGCTGGCCAAAAGGAAAGCCAAGTGGGATTCCCCCTCACCTTTGACCCAACCAGAACCAGCCCCCTTGCAAGGAGTCCCACCTCTACCCCAGCCCCAGAACCGTGGAGGAACTCGGCGCCTGTCTCCTCATCTCCACTGAGGCAAGGCTCCCCCATAATGACCCTCCTCTCCACTGCCACCCAGAGTTGAGAATAACCGCAGCTGGCTGGCTGCAGCCTCCAACCAAAACATAATCAAGGGACGGGAATGATTGGACTTGTCAGATGAAGGTGGGAAGGAGAGCCGAAAACGTGCGTGGAAAATCTGCTGCTTGATTGGGGTGACGCTGCCAGCAAGTCGAAGGAAGGGTTTCAAAAGAAACGAGGCCTTGAGAATCTCTCAGAAGTCAGGAGGGAGCAGAGAGGACTTTCCAGAAAGGCCAGGTGTTTCCTCAACCCAAGAGGAGAGTGACCCTATTTCAAGATCTGGGTCCAGATTTCATGCAAGATGCTGAGCCCCATCCCAGGTATACTTAAAGAGCAATTTCCAGAACTATCCACCCGTTTGCTCATACATACCTGTAGAGCACCTGTCCTTAAGCAGGTGCAGGGGACCCTGGCAGCTTGTCCCCACCTGTGGTCTAGAAAGGAGAGTGGCATCCAGTGCTGGGGACAGAGTGAACCTCTTAGTTGGTGTGGTGTGTCACCATGGGTGTGGGTGGGAGCTGGCTCCCTGATAACATAGAGGGCCTTGGGAGAAGGGACCATCAGAGGACATAGAGTTCTCAGAAAGGTCAAGATGGAAGTACCAGCTAACTACCCCCGTTACAGAGGAGGAAAGCGAACTCCAGAAACAAATCCTGGCTCTTCAGCATCTCGTGCACTGTTCTTTTCCCCTGCTCCAGGTGTGTGTGTGTGTGTGTGTGTGTGTGTGTGTGTGTGTGTGTGTGTGTGTGTGTGTATCTGAGACAAATTCATTCACCTCTACCTCCATCTATAATCCAAGCTGGCTGTGATGTCGGCATGAATTAAGATGTTTATAGAAATGAAAAAAAAAAAAAAGCTTGGGGGAAGAAGTTAATCTCTGTGTGGGGGTGAGGGGGTCTGGTTTCACAAGGTTAATGTCTTGATTTTTATTAATCCCTTTTCTGTTTTATTCAAAGAGGATTTGGTGTTCCTAGTTCCAGCTGGGAGCTTAAGAAACGGAGCAATGATTCTCGGCCTGCTGCCTACCCCTGCAGCTTTACAGCTAGCTCGTTTGCAGACCTGAGCACGGGGATGCCCGGAACCTAGTCTAGGCTCAGGCCAGCTCCATGCCTCAGTTCCCTGCTCTGTCTCAGCTTCTGTCCGGAAGTGTCCCTTTCTGTCTTCTCCCTGCTGTTGGAAAGATAACTGGTCTGACTCAGGAGACAAAGGGCTTAGACCCCGATGGCAAGACAGGGAAATAAGGGAAATCTTTAGGGGGACCTGTCCCGGCAGCTGAGAGAAACCCACAACCTTTTATGGGGACCCTGGGGTGTACAGAGAGAAGAGAGTGTTGTGGGGACTGTGCCAAAGTCCTCAGCCACCCCCATCTACTGTCTGAGTAAGCTACTTTTCCTCTGTGGAGAAGTAAGTCTGCACATTTCCGTCAATCCCATTGGCAAATGCTCAGGTGCCTTGGTGTGGCCATTTGTCTGCCCTAATCAACCATTGGAGGTCAGCTACCTTTTGCAGTCCCACTGCCTCAAACCTACAGGCTCCTTTATCCCCCAAATGCACGGTGATAACCCTGCTATGAAGATGTTGAACTTCACAGGGCACTGGGAGAATCGATGGAGCCCCAATCCATGGTAGTAATCAAAAGACCAGAAATCGTGACTCCAACAAAGACGTGTGCTCTAGCTTCTCCAGACTGCCAAAGTCAACACAGGTCTCGGCTCTAACTGGGTACTCTGGCCATCATGGGAACCCTTTTCTCTGCCATGCAAAGGTTTTTCTTACTAGAAGACAAACAATGAGACCTGAGCTCTATGAAATCCACATGCCGAGATATTAACCCAGCCCTGGCCCCGGTCCTCTCTAGGCCTCTGTTTCTTCATCATTTGTTAGGGAAGCCTTTGGATCAGCTCTGCTTCACCACACACCTCCATTCATCACTCATAATAGAGTCTAAACTTCCCAGCGCTATGAAGCTCCCGCTCAGGCCTTCCACAGCCCACCACCACTCCCAGACAGACCCAAGGAGACCCTCTCCCAACCAGATCTCCTCAGCCTCGGGCTAGCTTCCCTTTTGGGCTATGGGGTTGGATTGGCTTTTTTGCAGCTCTGATCCAAGTAGAGAGCAGAGGCTGGAGTCAGTGGCTTCCTTGTCTTGTTCCCTGTGGAAGGATTCCCCTTTTGGAAGCTGAGGCAGAGGGAGGACTCAGACCACCTTGCAGAACCAAGAACTCATACCGTGAGCTGCTGCCTTCTTGGATCTTCTCTGGAGAAGCAGGGCCATGCACTCTGGACAGGAGGTCTGTTGGCACTTGCCTTACCATGCGTTGATTAACAGACCGAGAGGCACAGGGCATGGTATTAGGAGCAGAGAAGGACCATGGGGCCTGTTGGGTAACTTCCATCTAAGCCTCGGGGCTGAGGCTCAGTCCCTTCCCTGAGGTAGTGGCAGGCCATCATCAGACACCCATGGGCGTCTGGCGGCCGCTTTCTCACTTGTCCCTTCAGATCCAGCCAGTTACAGCGCATTCCTTTGGCTCACATTGTTCCTTAACGACATCACTTTTTCCATCTCCCCTGATGGTGTTGTGCCCTTCTGCCTGAGCGCTGCCTCCCAGCTGACCTCCATCTCCCTGACACGCTGTGGTTTCCGTGGCTCACTGGACCACACCATCTCTGGACAAGCAGAGAGATCTATGCAACTCATGGCCTGGATCTTCCACCCCCACCTCGTGCCTCCCTCCCTCCCCGTGGCAACCTTGGTCCCTATGGGTGGCGTGGTCCCATCCCCTTCAGGTCACCGAGGGCCCTGGATACACCGCTCTTTCTCCAGGCACCAGCTCAAAGCCCCAACAATATCCTTTGGCTTGTGTACAGACACAGAGACCTTCTGAGTCCCTGCCTGGGCTGGGTGCCCGAACGCTGAGCCAGGAGAGCTCTGCTTCCCTTTCTCGTCTCTACTTTCAATGGGTCTAAAGCTCTTCCCTCACAAGCCCCTACGTGAGGTAGAGTCACCAGGCCTTACTCCCATCTCGGACCTGTTTCCCACCTGGAGTTGAGCATCTGTCCATCCATGGTAAATCCAGATGCTAAGTCTCCGGACCTGCCCGGCGCCTTCCATTCAGAGCTCCTCATTCATTCATGTGACAGCATTTTTCTGAGCTCTAGCTGTATGCCAGCCCAGCGTTAACAGCACCTTCTGTTCTGATTCCCCTGTCGTTGCCTGGCTCTGCCCTCAGTCATTTTCTAGTGAGGGAGCATGGCCGAGAAGGAAAAAGCAGGAGCCAGACTCATCAAGGATTGAATCCTGGTTCCCTGTAAGAACTAAGAAGTTGCTCCAGGAAGAGCCTCCATTTCCTCCTTCACAGAGCATGGGGGGGCAGGGGGGTGTCCCATTCCTATATTGTCAGGAGCACTAAGCATATGCCTATATACATGTACCTAGTATCATGTGTTTCTGGTATAAAGACAAGAAAGAGACCCATACATTTAGCAGAATGGCCAACAATATGCATGGCTGAGCAAATAGCCTTCAGAGAGATGGGGTAAGGTGAATGGGGCAAGGTGTGAGATCACTCTGGGGACTAGGCAGAGCCAAAGAAGGCCATGATCTCAATGTGTGACACCCCTGTCAGGTACCTGGCGTGCTCCCCTCTCTGTCCCTCCGGCCTCCAGGTAGCAGTCAGGATTGCTCTAGCCGCACTGGAGGTACCACCCGCCTCCCAGGCCGGCCTTCGTGTCTGTCACCAGTGGAAGCAGATGGGAACAAAGTGGGATCCTCTTCACAGCCACTCTCTTGGAAAGTGCTGAGCAGCTGCTGAGGAGCAGGAAGCCCAAACCTGATTCAGCCTGCCACCTTCTCCCTCTTCTCCCCTCAATCCCACCCAAGAGAACCAGCTTTCCCCAGGCCGGTTCCCCAGCCACGGCTACCTTTCACCACTATCCCCGCTGTAAATGTTCAAGGGCCACTTGTGGCCTCACAAGGACACTGGCTGCTGATAAGCCAGAGAGTTCCTCTCAGAGGACAGACCAAGGCCCTTGTCTAATTGCATGGGCACCAGTCATCTGAGATCACCAAGGCCAGAAGAAACAGGAAGCCAGGTGTCCCCGTGGCCTGCTCTTGCAAGGCCATCCTGCTCCCAAAGCCATAATTATGACCGTCAGGGCAGAGAAAATAATGCAGGAGAGCAGCCCCAGGCCCCAATGCTAACAGCGTCTTCACCATAGACGCACCACAGAGATTGCTTGCCTCCTGTGCCCCACCCCCCAGTCTCTGCCGGTCAGTCCACCTGTTGAGTTTGGGTCACACCAATAACTTGGTACCAGCCCAGAGTCCCAGAGCTTCCATGCCAGAAGGGACAGATGTTTCAAAAACACCCTCCTCATCATCCTGATAACACCTAAATTCTCTCAAAGGGAATTTTTTCCTTAGGGAAAGGAAAGCATTGTGTGAGTCAGTGGACCAATAGTCATTGGCTGCCCAGCATCTCCTCTGCCCCCATCCTGCTTTCCATTCATTTCTAGAACCCTCTCTCACCACGCCTTCATACTTGAACTTGACCCTACTTCCTTGATAAATCTGGGACTCAGATGTCACCAAATTGTGGCTTCAAAAAAAAAAAAAAGTCATAGGTGTTTGGGGGGAAAACTCATTTTCTAAAATTTCTAGATAAAACTATGAATACAAATAGAATATCTATATCTTCTAAATATATAATATTCCATATCTTTTAAAAAATATGATCTGATGGGGTTGGAGAAATGGCTCATTGGTTAAAAGTATGTGCTGCTCCTGTAGAATACCCAGGTTTGGTTCCCAGCACCCACACGGCAGCTCACAACCATTTAAACACCAGTTCAAGGGGACCTAACACTTTCTTCTGCATCAAGCACAGACACATGTGGTGTACATACATACATGTAGACAAACGCTCATACACATAGAATAAAAATAAATAAAATCTTAAAACACAGCCTAAATAACTTGATCTTGAATATGTATTCCCGTGTTTGGATATTTTTAAAAAAGTGTGTGTGGGGGTGTGTGTGTGTGTGTGTGTGTGTGTGTGTGTGTGTGTGCGTGTAGAGGCCAGACGACAACTTTTATTGTCATTCATCTTCACAACACTGTCCATCTTATTTTATTTTATTTTATTGTTTTTGTTTGAGACAGGGTCTGTCACTGGCTTGGACCTCACTGTAGAGACAAGGTCTCTCACTGGCTGGACCTCACTAAACCTCACTAAGTACAGACAGGGTCTGTCACTGGCTTGAATCTCACTAAGTACAGACAGGGTCTGTCACTGGCTTGAATCTCACTAAGTACAGACAGAGTCTGTCACTGGCTGGACCTCACTAAGTACAGACAGGGTCTCTCACTGGCTGGACCTCACCAAGTACAGACAGGGTCTCTCACTGGCTTGAACCTCATTAAGTAGGCTAAATTAGCCGGCCAGTGAAGCCCAAGGATCCATTTGTCTTCACCTTCCCAGCACTAGGATTACAAATGTGCACTGTCCAGTCTGGTTTTTGTTAATGTAGATTGTGGGCTTGAACTCAGGTCCTTACACCTGCAAAGCAAGAGACTGAGCTGTCTCTCTCTAGCTCAGCAAACAGGTTTCTTTTGACTAACTTTAATCTAGAGGAGAATCTAACTGACTAGCGATTCAGGCTTGGAATGGGTCCTCTCTAGTCTGAGACGTGTTCTCTTCAGTGAAGTTCAGCTCCTCCATAGCAGAGCTCAGTCTTCGCTCAGGGGTTTGAGTGGCCCACCACCACCACCACGGTGCTGTTTCCACAGTGCTGGGGCCTCAGGGTAGCCTGAGACTACTTTGGGAGCATCCCTGGCCTCAGAAGATCCTGCCAGGCCTGTTCCCAGGCTGCTTTGGTGTCCCTGCTCACACGTGTGTCTGGCTCACACGGCTGTCCCATTGGGCTGCTGCAAGGGGCTGATTAGGTGTAATTGCTTTGCTGGGAGCGAGCTATCTACTTAATAGAATCAGCTCCCAGTAATTAGCCTGCCACAGGCCCATTTCCTTTGCTGAAGCCCCAGGGCTACTGGGCATATTGCATGTTGGACCTCTGCAGGGGGCAGCATGTGGGGTCGATGTGGGTGGGCTTTAGGGTTGGTTTGGGGGTAGTCAAGAGGACTGAGTCAAGTCACTGAGGAGATTCAGCAGCAAGATGCCCAGAGCAGCCCCTCTGGAGGCTGGGAGCCAGGGAGTTACAACATTCCAGGCTAGAGGGATAAAGTGCCTGACGTAGATAGACTGCTCCAGAAATGTTAGACTGAACCCACTTGAATCATAGAGGGCATCTAGTCTAGCCCCTGAACCCAATACACTCATTTCTTATAGACATACTGTGTGCCAGGCATGAGACTAACTCCAAGAATCTTTCTAAAATGAATCAATTAGACTACAGTTACATGCCCTCTTAACCATGAGGTCACTGCCATGCCCGGCAGTTTTGTGCCTTCCTGGGAGACGTGGAGAACACTCCATCTTACGCTGCTTGCTGGTTGCATCATTCCACAGATCACTGGTCCCTGCTTGGCCCCACAGGACAAAGCTAATCCCCTCCTTGGGTGACAGCTCACATGGCCCCTGTCTCTTTCTCCAGGCTGAACATCCCAAGTTCCCTCACTTGTACCATGAACATCATCCTGGGCGAGGCCCCTCATTAATCTGGTTGACAGGCCTGGAACCTGTTCTTGTCTGTCAATGCTTTGCTTTCGATGCAGTCTGGAGCTCGGCGGCTAGCCCTGTAAAACTCCGGATCCTGCCTGAGCCAGAACATCCGCAGTTTTAGACAGCCCCAGATCCCCTAAATATGACACTTCCAAGAAGGGCTACGGTGCCACTTTATCGTCTTCCATTAAGGAGTTTGTGGGAGTGGAGTCGCCACTTTTGGCCTGTTCCCCTGTCTCAACACACACACACACACACACACACACACACACACACACACACACACACACACACACACACACACACACACACGAACGCCCTGCCGTGCCTGCCCAGCACCACTCAATACACACTGGCTGATTAATCATTGGCGAGTTGCTATTATAATTATTGTGTTTGGTGCTGAGAACAGGCTGCCTCTGCTTCTCAGAAGCCATAAACCTGCAAAGGAGGATTTCAAGATTTGTGAGCTGTTGACGACACGTCCGGCCTTCCTTTTCTTCAGTGGCCGTGTGTTTGTCCGGAAAGATTGGCCATGGCCACTCTAGAGTCTCTCCAAAAGACAATCTGGGAACTTGATTCTTGCAATGAAAATGGCAAGTACAGGGACTTATCTCGTGGCTATAGATAGGGCAGCCAGGGGAACTGGGCATGAGCTCCAGCTCTGGCCCTGTGTGCTCTAAGGCCTGGAGATAGTCAGGGCCCCTTGTCAAGACTGTTTCTTCATAGGTACTAGAGGTCTAAGGATTTCTCTGGTTTTAATTATGTAATTTAATGACAGAAAAGAGGAGGGTGGAGTGGAACATGTGAAGGCTTGGAAGACAGAGGATGGGGAGGAGACCAAGATGGAAGCTGAAACAGTAAGGTTCACAAGGTCCTGCACACACAGACATGCACACATAGCACGCTCATCGCCCACCAGAAGACAGGCTGGAGAAAAGTTCCTGGCTTTCCCTGGGTCTTACCTGTTGGTCTGTAAGAGATCTCAGTCGTGGGCTGAGTCCACCCTCTGTCCCTGCTTCCAGTGTGAGGGTGCAGAGGTTCCAAAGAAGAGAGGAGAAAAGAGAGACTAAGAAGGAGGCTACGGAGAAAATAGGGAGGCCTGGAGACGACATCGAAATCAGAAAGTGAGTAATAGCAACGCTGAGGAGGAAGTGGGCAATCTCCCACACTGCCTGGGAGAAGAAAAACCAAGATAGCCTGCTGAGGACAAGCAGCAGGATTTAGGAACGCATGGGGTTGGGGGGGGAGTGTTGTAGATACACTGTGGCCACTTCTGGGTATGGGTCCTAGCCACAGCTCCCAGCACATCCTCAGCACCCATGGATGAGGATGCTCACGGCGAGTAGCATTTACAGCCAGAGAAAGGAAGGCTGTCTGGCGGGGTGGGGGGGGGGGGGGGGGGGGGGGGGGGGGGTGGTGGAGAGTGTGGGGGGAGGGGGAGAGTGTGGGGGAAGGGGGATGTACAACCGGACATGGGACAGGCCGTTTAGGGTGAGGATTTTATGTTTATGTAAATGGTAGTCAGGAGCCAACCAGAGCTCCCCGGCGGTGTTTCTGAGACCAGTTGGTCCTTACTCTTGTTAGGAGCTAGGATTTTGCACCCTTTGAGTCCGAGCCCTCATTTGTCCCAGATCGAAACAGCCTTCCTTCCTGGGCCACACAGCCCAACTAGAGCAGGACTAAGAGGACCAGGTGTCCAGCTTCCCAGCCCAGCTCTCCCCCAACAGCCCACAGAGCCTGGCTTTCCTAACAGTTGCCTTTTGTGTTTGACTTGGGCTTGAGATGTTAAACAAACAGCAGCTCTTGACAAACGCAAGCCGTTGCTGTGGGGCCAGTTATGCTCGGGAAAGCCGAGCTAATCCCCAACTTGACTGCCTCCGGAGATACACCAAGAAACCCCTCCGTCACACCCGCAACCTGCTGTCCAGGGCTATGGCTTCCGTGCAGCGGCCTGTAGTAGCGGCGCACGGCCCCTGTTTTTCCGTCTTGATCCTGAGCCCTGGTCCAAGACTACTCAGGCCTTCCCTGGCTGATACTGAGAGAGCTCTGGACCCCTTTCCCCTGCCTCTGCTGGCTTCTCTGAAGCCCCACGCCACACCAACCCACCCAGGTGGCTGGAGCCAGCAGGAAGGGCTCAAGGAAGGTTTTGAAATGATGTTCTCTGTCTTGACTATTGTGCTAAAGCTAAAAGTGAGGTTAAAAAAAAAAAGAAAAAAGAAAAAAGGCTTGTCTCTGTCCTGTGGGAACTTACAGTCTATTCTAGACAGATGGACCAGAACTTGCCCAACTTCCCCAAGGCTCTCTGCTAGCTCATAACTGATATGTCAGGCCTTGAACCAGGTTTGTCTGACTCCAGGTCAACTTCTCTACTCCCTCACTGGCCCTGCCCTAGCCTGCCCTAGTCCTTCAACCAAACTGTCCATGCAGCAGGGATCAGAAGTAACAGAATGGAGCATCTCTGTGCCTCCATTCCTCAAGCTCACACACTTGGTTACTGTAAAATGAACAAGAGCATCATCAGGATATGGCTGATGCTTTTATTTCTCAGAAATAGACACCGGGGCAGAGAGGCCACAAAACTTCCCCCAGTTCACCCAGCTACATCGGCACCAAAGCCCAAGCCTCTGGACCATCAGTTCGATACCCTCATGCTGCACAACATGCTTCCTTAGCCCTTGGAGACACTTGACTCCTCCTTTCTCCTCCCTGGTAGCACTTGCTCTGGTTTGAGAAGTATATTGTCTGTAGGCATGGAAAGCAGGAGGCCGAGGTTTTTCTGCCCCAGACTCAACTGTCTGAGTCCCTTTATCACTCAACTAGGTTGCAAATCCAGCAGAACCAGGACCACTCCTGGCCTTGGCTTGTGTCCCAAGGACCTAAGGAAATGTGTAGTGTGACTTTGATATGCAAAGCATTATGGGAAGAATAGTATTGTAAAAGGATCTCTACCCAAGAAAAGAGACCAAGCCAGAGGGGTAGTCCTAAGAGCAAATAATCTACTTGGCAAGAAGAATTGAAGCTCAGATGTCCATAGAGGCATGGGGGGGGTGGAAACTGGGAAGTGTTTCCTGGAGACAGTAGCCTTTGAGTTGGATCTTGAAGCCTGAGTTGGCTGGCAGAAGGTGGGAGAGGCAAGGAGGTACCAGCATCCCAACTGATGGGAGCCCTGGAGCCCTTGGAGTCTCATGAAACATGAGAGATCACAGATGTGCCCAGGACTTATGGATGGATGGACGGAGTGGTGTGTTACACTGGAAATGACTGTGTCTAGTGTTTAGTGTACAGTAAAGCATGGCAGCTAGTGATAAATTCCAAACAATTTACCCTAACCTTGTTGCTGCATCTTTCCCCACAAACTAATCTTCAAAGAAGTGGCTATTCCCTTTTTGCCTAGTTCTCAAGAGGACTGGCATAAACAGATGCAATCAGGCCAGGAAGGTCATGGGATGTTATAAGTGAAAGGCATGTTGATGTTTTCTGGTCCAAGCCCTCTACTTAGGGATGTGGGACTCAAGGAGCAGGCAAGGGAGTGACTGACCTCCAAAGCTACAGCAAACACGGACAAAGAGACAGGCTGACTTTGGGCAGGCACGGACAGGTCCAAGGGTCCTGTACAGAAGGAACCAAGGAATGCTGTTAAGTCTTTGATCCAGCCCAACCCAGGTCACCAGGAAGAAAATGGATGAGATCATGCCCGCAGTCCCAGAGGCCGATCAAAATCCTTGACTGTGCCAGCATGCTCCTCCATTGCCACCCTCCCACCACAGGGGACAGGATGGATGGACAGGATGGACAGGACAGCTGTCCTCCGGAACTCAGAACATGCAATGATGCTCTGGTTCCATCTACAATGGATGTTGCATAAGCGCCCATCATACTCACTCTAAGATCTTCATTATTCTTCTCATTACTGTCCAGGCCTCAGTTTCCTAATCTGTAACACAGGAAGGCTGAGCGAGATGGTCTCTAAGAGTCCTTCTAGTTCTTAAGAGCTTCGAGAACAAGTTCCATCAAAATTAATAATAAATGTTCTGCCCCAAAGACAGCTTTTTCCCCGTTCCTAAAGCTCTTTCACTTAATAATATCGCCTTTCATTTGTATGGCAGTCTGGGGTTGGCAGCCAGAAGTGGGAAAACCCTGACAGCATCCCCCCTGAAGCCCGGCTCTAGGGAATCCACTTGCGCATTCACACAGACCGTGGCACAACTGGCTTCTGGGCTGATTTTGACCAGGAACCAGCACATCAGAAGCACACTGAGCCCAACTTGTACCCCACCCACAGGAAGCTCAGAAGGGCATGACTCTTCTTCCTGCAGCCAAAGAATGCCAGGGACAGAAATACCCACAGGCTGCGTCCCAGGCCGAGGGAAAACAGTTTGTTTCTTCAAAAAGTTGAAGACCTGCCTTTGTGGGGAGAGGAGACACGGGTGCCGTGAATTCAGGGTCCTCTCATCAGGCTGTGGTCCAGACACCCGAGTCTTAAGAGAGTAAAGGTCACCAGAGAGTCTCATGTCCTTCTTCACACACATATGGCTTCCTTTGGCTCCTTGAAGCCAGCTGCTCAGGAGACTAATGCATAATGATCAAACCCATTTTAGAGAAGGGAAAAGAAATGAGGCTCAAGGTGAAGAGCACGGTCTTGAGACGCAAATAGGCAGAAGTCTCCTCTCAGCTCAGGGACCCTAGGTGATTATATCTCCTTCAGCCTCAGTTTCTCCACCTATAAAATAGTCCTCAGTATGAACAGACTTACCTGTGAGGACCGAGGTCAAGGTTAAGCTTGTGAGTGTGGGGTACCCCGAAGGATACAAGGATGCGTCCTGGTGGAGTGAATGGGCTGGTAGCTCTTCTGAGGTGCTTTCGGATACAGAGTGGTGTCTGGCAGTGACATCCCAGCCCAGAATGTGGCAGATGGTGCCCTCCCTTGCTTGCTGCCTCCCGAACCACGGGGTTTGGGCCTCTTCCACGGCTCTCTATGTGGCCTACACCAGGGTCCCGTGAAGGGCTGTTTGACCCTCCTTGGCACTGGGATTTACATTCCAAACATTGTGCTCTCTCAGCCCATCCACGTCCGGAGCTGTTTGGAGCTGAGTAAGGCCCCGGGGATCATCTGCCATGACAACTCACAGAAGAGATAAGGACACAAGGCTCTGAGAGGAGCTCTAACACTTTGCCTGAGTTCCCACTGCCCGCCGGGTTCCCCTCTTCATCGCCACAGCCCCCGCCCCATGTTGACAAATGAAGAAACTGAGGCAGGGAGACTCCTGTTTCAGTTTCTCCCGTCTGTCTGTCAGTTAGTCATTAGGTCTGGACTCCTCCTACCCCCACCCCGGATTCCAGCTAGATCCCCACCCATTCCTGGTCTGTGCCTCAAGGTGGTCTCCTGTGATTTCTATGCAGCCCAAGTCCTGCTTGTCACGCTGGTGCGGGACAAGGGCCATCGATAGAAAGATGTGGCAGGTGGCCTCAGCTACCAGCCTTGGCTTTCTCAGCCGGTCACCAGTGCCTGGTGCTAACCTGGGAAGGAACCCTGTGTCAGGAGAGAAGGCTTTCCCTGGAGTATTGGCTCACAATGTACCCGGTGGGGGCCGGGGAGGGGCGGGGGGGACGACAGCAAATCCCTGCCAGTTTCTAAGATAAGCCAGGGGCTGGAGGACAGGCAAGGAAGTGTGCCCTGGGTGGGGAGGGGGTTGACTGAGCCCAGTCACCAACTCTCCGAGTGTGTCCCATATATCACTTCACCTCCTGTGCCTCAGTTTCCCCATCCGTGTGCTAAGGAGTGGGCCATCAGAGCCCAAGGTCCCCCCCCCATTCCTCAGCACTGTGACTACAGCCAAGGGTAGATAGAGAAGGGGGATTTCTCTGTCTTGCTCTTCTCACTCCCGTGGCTGCCCCTTTTCAGGACATTTGTGTCTTCTCCAGCTCTCCAAGTTTCCCTGGCTCAGTCTGTCCCTCTCTTTGCATCTTTTGCACCACATTTTTCTGCCAGATCCCCCTTTTCCTGGGTCTGTGTGGACCTCTGGCTTGTCTCCTCCATCACACACACACACACACACACACACACACACACACACACACACACACACACACAGCCCCCCCCCCCCCCAGTTCTCTCCCTTCCCTGTAGTTATCTGTTTCCCTGCCTAGTTTTCTCTGGGGCTGGCGGGCTGGATCTCTGTCTCCCTCTCTCTCTCTCTCTCTCGCTCCCTCTCCCATCTTGTTCCCCCCCCCCTCCGCTCTCGCTCTCCCTCCCTCTCTCTCTCTCTCTCTCTCTCTCTCTCCCGCCTCTGTCCTGCCCGGGTTCTCCCGCTCGCTCCCCCTTCCCTCCCCGCCCTCGGCGCGGCTCCCCAGTCCTTATTTGGCTGGGCGGGAGGGCAGGCGGGAGGTGGCGGCCGGCGGCCGGGGGGCGGGCGCGGGGGCGGGCGGAGGAGGGCGGTGGGTGGTGCTGAAGGGACAGCTCCGCGGCGGCCGGCAGCGGCGGCGGCGGCGGCGGCGGCGGCGGCAGCGGCCCCGGGGTGCGGAGCTGGTACCCGGCGTGGAGATCCGCGAGCGCAGCCATGCCCCAGGCCGCCTCCGGGGCAGCAGCAGCGGCGGCGGCCGGGGCCGGGGCGCGGGCCGGAGACGCCGGAGGGCCGGCGACACCCGGGGAGGGACGATGAAGCGGCAGAATGTGCGCACGTTGGCGCTCATCGTGTGCACCTTCACCTACCTGCTGGTGGGCGCCGCCGTGTTCGACGCGCTGGAGTCGGAGCCGGAGATGATCGAGCGGCAGCGGCTGGAGCTGCGGCAGCTGGAGCTGCGGGCGCGCTACAACCTCAGCGAGGGCGGCTACGAGGAGCTGGAGCGCGTCGTGCTGCGCCTCAAGCCGCACAAGGCCGGCGTGCAGTGGCGCTTCGCCGGCTCCTTCTACTTCGCCATCACCGTCATCACCACCATCGGTAACTACACTCGCCGCGCCGGAGGGGACGGGGGCGGGGACCTGGGATGCTGGGGAGCCGCCCGCCGCTGAGGGGGTCCCTGCGGAGCTGGGCGGGCCGCGGAACCCGCGCGCTCCCAGCGGCCGGGGCTCAGCCCCGCGTGTCTGCTCTGCGGGCGGAGGTGGGGGGGGGGACCCCTGACTCCCGATCTGTCTCCAGCCCGGGCCAGCCCTAACTTGGCCTTGGCCGGGTTGTGCGAGGACCCCAGGGGACTCAAGTGTGTGAGAGGGACAGGAGCAGCCCGGCTAAGGCTCGGGAGGAGGGGTGTGGCCGGGCTAGGCCCTGGGGCTGGGTGCCCCGGAGTGAGCAGCCCGGGAGCGTGCCACTCCTCCGTGTCCCTGACGCTGGGCTTGGGCACCCGGGTGTCCACACCTGCTGGGCTGTGGGGAGGCCCGTACATGCCGGAACGCTGCACTCCGCGACACACGGGCCACTCTCTAACTGCGACTGAGTGCTGCTGGGGAGGGGGGGTGGGGTGCGTGTGTCCGCGTGGGTGTGGGTGTGGGTGTGTGAGTGTGTGTCCATCTCCATGAGTTTGGGCTGCACCAGACAGGGCCTGTAATTCTCTGAGGGCAGCAGAGCAGGGGCTGGCAGCCAGATTCGGTCCTGTTAGCCTTCTTTCCCAGTGTCCCAGCAAAACAGTCACCTCACAGGAATGGCTCCACTTCTTTTCCAAGGCCAGGGCAGATCACTCTGTAGGAGGCCACACGCACACCCAGATCCTCTGAGAACATGGCACACAGGTACAGAGAGAGAGAGAGAGAGAGAGAGAGAGAGAGAGAGAGAGAGAGAGGACACAAACAGATGTCCGGCAGGAAAGGCATCTCCAGCCAGGCCCTTCACCAAGCTGTTGAAGTGTCAGTGTCCAGCCAGGATCACACACCTTAACCATTCCCAGGACCCTGGGATTGCAACCCAGCTCCATCACTAATCATGACCGACCTTGGGCAAGTCCCTTCTCCTGCCTGGATCTTGGGCTCATGTCCCAACATGTAGAGGTTGGCCAAAATGATGTCAAGGGCTCTTCCCAGCCCTGACGTGCTTGGACTCTGAGATTGGGAACCCACCTTCCCCCAAAGCCATTGGGATGCCTCCAGGAGCTGTTTCCTCCATCTTCCCCACTCCTTCTCATCCTGACCCCCACCCCCTGCCTTGGCTGAACTCCCAGGGGCTCATTGCCATTTGGCAAAGCCCATAAGAAGATGGCAGTGTTTTCCTGGGAGTCAACAGGAGTGGAAGCAGGTTAAAGGCAGAGCTGGACACTGTCTACCCACTGCAGAATGCCGTTCTGGGGCTCTGTTGCTCTCCAGCAGTGGGAAAAGGAACACCCAGACACTACCCAAAGAGAAGGTTTGCTCTAGGACCCCCTTCCCTCCACATCTCACTGCCGCTTGCCCGGAGTTTCACAGTAGGTTAGCTGTCTGTAAATCAGTGTGGCCTGTGTACACCTCTCTCCCTCTTCCCACACGAGTTCCCCAATTAGTACAACTTTCCTCCTGCTTCACGGAAACCTCCCAGCTGACCTTCTTGCTTCCAGCCTCATCGCCACAGCAAATAGCATCCCTGGGACAAATGCTTCCAGAGAAAAACTAAAACAAAACTCCCAAAGCACAGCTGTCCTAGCCTGCTTCACCAAAGCCCACCTGGCTCCCCACTGCCCCGTGCTCCTTACCCCACCTCCACCTCCATGCCTAACTTTACTTCTTACTTGTTAGTTGGATGATTTCTCTCCATAGCCTCCAAATCATCCCTCAGAGAATACTTAACATGTTTCTAGCCAACAGCATGTTTCTTCTGCCTTCCCTTTGCTCTCTAGGTCCAGTTTAACACCACCCTCCCCCCGCCACCACACCCCCCCCCCAAGCACCCGTGCTAAGCCTTACAGGGCCACTGTCCTTGAGGACTGCAGCAGGATTTATTGGCAAGATGACCTAGGCGACCCAGTATGGGCTCTTTTAAATGCTTATTTACATCCTAAGGAGTGTGTTTGTCTTTTGACCACACACAGTCTTGTTACTGTCCATGAAGGCAAAGCCCATCTCTGTGGATTTTGAGAGCTAGCAAGGTGCCCCACAGCCATGGGCACTGGAGAACGCTATTGATGGGTTTAACGTGTGCAGACATGACAGGTGGTACCCTTCCCTCCAACCCTGCTGTTGCTTTTCAAATTGCCTGTGGTTCTTACCTAGAGAGACGCTAGAAGCTGGGGCGAGCAGCCGAACACGGCTGATATTTATACAGGGCTGGTCAAAAAGCAAGTCACCACCCTAGACGGGCAGTGCCTACTCCCTACCCCACCCAATCATACCTGGCTCCTTTTTTGCCTCTCACTTTGCCTCTGCCACCTAGCTGGAAGCTGTCCTTGGGGTAGTGATGGGATGCCTGGAAGGGCTGTGTGTGAGAATGTTGTTAGCCTGTTCCCGACCCATCTGCCTGCTTGGGAACATCTTGTGGCCAATCCCACTGGCTAAGTTTGGTTAAATGACGGAGCCTCCCATTCAGTCGGCAACTAGTGACCGCAACGGTGTTATCGCTTGGTTGGATCTCAGCCCTCACAACTCAGTGTGGGATTATTAGCTCTGTTACTCCAAGCAGTGGGTACAGGTCAGGGAAGGGAAGGGATCTCCTGCCCAGAGCCACCAGGCTGACGGGCAGCAGATTCAGAAGGGAAAGCTGGCGCTTCTGACTCCACACCCACCCCGGGGGCTGTGTCCCTGCTGGCCTCTTGGCCGCTTCCTTTGCCTCCATATGTTATGAAGCCCAGGGCCAGCCTGGCAGAGCTACCAGGTGCCCAGTGATGCCAACTTGCAGAATGCTCACGAGTAGCCCTGATTGGTTGGCGGTCAGCAGGGTCCGACTTAGTCATTCACCTGGTTAGTCACCTTGTTCATTCCCACCCCCTCATCCCTGGCCTCACTGCTAGGAAACCCTTCCTTCCCTGCTCCTCAAGTTCACCAGACACAAATGGAAACTCTTTCCTTGGGAAACCTCGCCCTCCCTAGATGTTGAGTCATCAAACTCCTCCAGGCCCCAGCCCCCTCTATTCATAGCCTAAAGCTGTCAGAGGAGGAAGGGGCCTGGGGATCAGCTGGTGCCATCACCTCCTCCTACAGAGAAGGCACGGGGCGGGGGGGGGGCGCGGGGGGGAGACAGGAGTCACATAGAGGGGGGACAAAATCTGACTTGCAGGCCCCCCCCCTTGCCTCTTTACCTGTTATTACTTGTTTAGTTCTATTTATTTGTTTGTTTTGTGATGCTGGGGATGGAACTCAGGAACTCCAGTGTGCTAGGCAAGCGCTCTACCAACTGAGTGCCCATCATGCTATTTTTATTGCCACAGTAGCCACAATAGTAAGGGCAGCCTCCCTTTATGATCTCCGCTCTGGCAGGCTCTATCCGGACACTTCATTTGTATCCCCTTGTTAAGCTCCACCAGTCCTCCAACGCTGACCTTATTACCCCCACTTTCCAGCTAAGCACTGGAAGGCTTTAAGTCAGCCACTCACCCACGGCCTCGGAGCTTCAGAGTAAAGCACCTGTGCAGCCTCAACTGACCTATCCGCCTCTCACTGGCAGGTCCTTTCTCCACCTCAAACCCAGCCCAGACCCTTGGGTTACAAGGCACCGAGATAGCCAAGCTGGTTCATCCCTAGCCCGGCGTCCCGGAAGAAGGGAGTCTCTTGTAGCCAGCCTGTTGTTCGCGCATCGCCTAATGGCCCAAAACAGATAGATCTGTGCCTGGCACCTGGTTGTCCCCGAGGCTGTGTGGGACTCACAGGTGCTGGTTCTCTCACAGCAAGCCTGGGAATCTTTCAGGCTCTAAGGCAACGAGAGACCAGGTGATAGATCTGTTGATGGAGCCCAGGCAGGAAGCCTGGGCTGCTGCTGCTCTCTGGCTCCTCGCCCGCCCGACCTCCCGCTGAGCACAGCCTCCTGTGGCTGGCTAGGCAGCACGGTGTGACCCGGGGACTGAATTCAAGCAGGTGGCCCAAGAGAAAGATATAAAAGCGGTGCCTTTTTATATCTTTCCCAGAAGTGGCCTGCCACTTCCCAAATCACAGAGCCCTATAATAAGAGAATGAGAGGTGATGTTAGGGAACACCCAACCACTCAGAGAGGTCAATAACTTGCCCAAGGCTACACGGCAAGTTGAGCGCTTGATGAAACCCATGATCGGCCGTGATCTTCACACTGTGCATCCCCCAGCGTCACCCCGCTCTTTGCCTACAGGCAGGCCCCTCTACCTTGACTCCCCAAGCCTAACTTGGAAACCAGAGCCCTCGACTTCATTTCGACCCACCTTCTATCCCCTCCCGTGTCCTGCCCAAGCTATTAAATCTCTCAGATCTCATTCTGTCAGTTATAAAATGAGAATGAAATTATCAGCAGGAAATAATACTTTCATGCAAAGGACGCGCCTGGTAGATTCGATATTTAATGGTGTCTGTAATGTTTACTATCAATAATGTTACCGTCCATGGAGTGTGCCTTCCCCCATGGAGGGGCTCACTCTGTCTCTTCAGGGTTACGGTGGCAGAGCTACCTTCTTAAGGAATAGGGCCAGTGAGGTGAGGGGGAGTGAGGGAGGAGTGGGGGGGGGGCGTAGGGGGCAAGATCAGGAAGCTACCACATCCCTTTGTCTTACCCTCCCAAGATCCTACCCCAGGGTCCCCTTTTCCTTCTTCATGCCTGGAGCCCACCTGACTTGCAGGTTCAAGGGCTGTGCTACCTCTTCGGAGCAGGCAGACCCTCAGAAAATTTAGAGTGCTAGGAGAATTTGCTATGTCTCGGAGCAAGGCAGGAAAAAAAAAAATCTAGTTCCACCCAGTTCAGCTACTGGTCCTCTC